AACATGAGTGCATACCAGTTCAGCCCATGTTTATGTGTGCCTTCAGCCGTGAGCGCATAAAAGCCACATATTTGATAACATCAAATTTGGGGGCATATTTTCTGCATAATAATGTGCCTGCCCGATTTGGTTATTTTGTTTGGTTGCGCATATAATGCGTTTGTTTTTATTTATTATTGCATTCACGCATGTGGTCGCTTGTTGGTTGCACATTTCAGCCGTAATAATTCTTTCAATCTGTCAATTTCCTCATAACATTGTTAAACATTGCGAAAATGTTAAACCTCACTCAATTTGCAAATTTGGTATTTTGCAGCCGGGGCTTTTGTTTCGCTTATCTCTCTCCTTCACTCTCTCTCTCTCTCTCTCTCGCACACAATCGTTTTGTGCAACTCATTTTAGCATGCAATGTGCTCTATTTTCTTCTATTGTTTGCATTATTCGTGTCATTGTGTAAAAAGATCTCTATTTTTTGCCTCTCCTCTCCGCCGAATCGTTAGATGTGTACCATTTTCCATTGGCAATTTCTTGCCATTTAAACATAGCATAGACAGAGGACAAGAAAGCCGGAGAGACAGAGAAACGAATGGTGTGTGTGTGTGTGTGTGCATTTAGTTTGCTAAGTGTGATTCCATTGCAAAATGCATTTTGCAAAAACTTTTGCAAAAATAACCCAAATACACGGAATGAATGAACGGAGAAGACAAACGGCATAATGGTGATAAACGGTAATGTATCGACCACTGTTTTTCTTCTTTCCATTACTTCTGTTGCGCTGCAGATCTCTTCTCTTTCGTCTTATTTTATTTACTATTTGATTTCCATTCTACATGCACTTATGGCGTGTCTTTTGTCATCGGGTACCATTTCTCTTTCTCTCTCTCTCTCTCTTTGTATATATTACTATCGTTTACCCGAACACGCATGCATGTCGCTTTGTGTAATTCCATCAATTGAAGAAATATCTAGAATTTTACCTATATTTCATAGATCAACACCGCATGCATTGAAAAAGGCTCTTTCTCCATCTCTCTCGCCTTTTTTAATCGTTGTTGTGTCTGTATGTCATTTGAAAATAGCAATTTATGGTTGGCACTTTGAGGAAGAGAAGAGAGAAAGATCATTCCTCCGATTTCTAGTTCAGGCAAGTTTTTCTCTTCATCTTCTACTTCTTGATGTGTTGTTTTTTGCAATGCATCGAGCAAAAGTGCATAGACAAAGAGAGCGAGAGAAAGAACAGTTAGTGAGCCTTTTTTCTTCTTTAACTCTCGTCGACAATCAACTGCAAAATGAACACAAACACACGTCACTTCCAAAGAACGAGTTGTTTGCAATTCTACTTTCTAGCTCTCTTTCAGCGTCACTCCATTCCACGTTTATATTTACTTTTGGTGCTATTTAACTCTCCTATGGTATTAATAGAAGCGCAGTAAAACTTACTTATTCATTTTGTAATTCGCTTTGATTGGTGTGAGCGAGTGTGTACACCGCGTTGAAATTAGCGAATAATACACAAACAAACGGAGGAAAAAAATACTGTGTGCAAATTGAGAATATCGCTGAATTGGCAGTAATTTTTCTGACTAATTTTGTCTCATTATGTGCCTTACGAAACACACCATCAGAGACCGAGCACGTAACAAAAAAGCATTGCAAATTGTAAGAGTCTTACGTGAATTTTATTCGTTTGGTTACATTTGAAGGTAACATTTAATGTCGATTAAATGGTAGATTGTTTAATCTATTTTGGCTTGCAGCACCCATGAACAAATAACAAAGAATATATTATGCGATGGCGGCAGTGTGACTCATAGTCATAGCATAAACAAAGTTCACGAATTGCCATGGTAGCACGAAAAATACACGCTACGATCCGACATTCGACTTTTGATCGGCTCAAACTATTCAGCCGTATAAAATTCTCGGAGTTTTTCTTGAACTACACGACAAATGCCCGCTATTGATGAAGAATGTTTCCCCGTCGTTTTAAAGCAAAAAACGCAAATATTCGGGCGAAGAAGAAAAAAAAATGCAACAATAACAACATTCGAAAATAAAGTGAAGGGAAAGTAAAGATTCAGTACATCTGCCGATGTATGGGAATCAAATGGAAGTGTTTGATCATTGAATGTGCTCAGTCATACGCGGAGAGTCCATGAGAAATGCTAAACAGGTGCTTACGCATATTTTTTTTCGACAAGTCATCCAAATCAAACGAATGCGCTCATTGTTGTCGTTACTTTTTTTTCCGTATGTGTACTTGCACCGAATATCACCGGTAATTGACGACCTTGAATCAACCAAAGCCGACGATTATTTGTCATGTATTCTATTTCAAAGAACGATAATTGCCATTCGAATTAGTTGAAGGGAATCTCTGCGGTTTTATTTTTCAATGCGACAGATTGTGGCACAAAATTTTTAGTGTAGCTTGAAACAATCGACTTGTGACCCGTCGATCAGTAATTGATGACTCTTAATTTTAAATTGATTTCTAATAATCACGTTCGCCGCATTGAATTTCATTTTTGAGAACGACAATACGAAAAAATAACGACGACAACGACGAGAACAACGAAAAGAGCGTCGTTTGAGCCAAAATCTATCACGATTTGACCGACTTTGAAACGTTTCAGGCTTCGTTCAACTCCTGGGCAACAGCACACACACACACACACATACAATTTGGCGATTTAGCAGCGAAACCGCTTTCCGTTATTGCTTAAGAATAAACGGTTATTTTATTTGAAATGCGCATTTCACTTGAGTTGCCACAGTCTTAAGTAGTGTAAATCGAGAAAAAAAAGAAACGAAAAAAAAATAAATAAATATATATCAGAATCTCTCGATTTGCGATGTTAAGATCTCGATTATCTCTATCAGCATGAATTTTCAATGCACAATTCTCGCGCGCGCTGACGACGCTGACTGTGAAACATGTACACACGGTATGCGTGCGGTTGAATTCTATTTCTTTCGTTCGTTGCTTTCTTCTCTTCATGTCAGATTCTAAGATGGCTCTGTTTCTATCAGTTTTTGTTCGTTCATTTTCTTCTTCTGTGTATATTGCTTCGATGGTTTGATTACTCGTTCAACTGTACATCGGTTTTTGTCGTATACATACACATGAGAGTTGATTAAGCTAGCGAGCTAGGTTGTTCAATGAACGTGCAGCTCATTTTGTTCTCGAATTACGTTGGATGTGTAACAGAGCAGAACAGACAGAGAGAAAAATGATACGATGAAAATGGTTTATCTTTGGTTTGGCTCTTTACTTCTCATCACTTTGTGGTTCTTTAAAGGAACTTCTTTCTTATTTCTAATTTGTCGTTCTTTTTTTCTGCTTTTCATGAGATCCATTTGTAAATGGATTTGCTGTTCACTCCCCCAATCTCAGAAGAAAAAAAATGTGAATGTGTCCCGTGCAGATCTACTTTGCAACTTTTCAACGTTTGACGCCAAATATGCTAGATCTATCGATAAAATAAATCAAAAGAACCAATCGATTAAATGATAAATCAACATCAGCACCTCCGGTTCTAACGATGTGAATCGCATCCAAATTTGGACAGACTTAATACAATCTTTGATTGCATATTAATTTTAAAAAAACCGGGGGAAACAAGGTAGAAAATTTATACAAATGAAATGAACGCCTTATTCATTCTAATTGCTGTATTTATTTATGCACATCCCACGCGCCCCATTCATATTATTATTCAAGCAGTTAGTGAGTGAGTCGACAAAAAAATAAATTTCTTTCGAATTTTCTGCAACAAAAGCAAAACACAATGGACAGACATGAGGAAGACGACAACACCGAGCGACAAAACATAAATCAGCGAAAGGAAGGTACAAATATAAGTGCGATTTAAAAAAAAAAATACCGTGTGGCGTTTACATTTGAAATGCCCAATAAATTGCAATTTTATACAGACAGCGGGAGAATCAGCAGAAAAAAAATAACACAGACGAATGAGAAGCAACAAAAAAAATGCTGAACATTTCTTGCATTTCTCTTTGGTTCGTTGATGACTCGACCGAAATGCAAATAGGAAGAGGTGTCTCGAACTTGAATTTTGTAACTTTTTTTTCTGTCATCATATTTCGAAAGAAAAATGGCTTTGAATAAAACAGAATTGGTATTCTAAGCGACAGAAAGACTTTGGCTCCGGTACGATGCAAAATATATGCAAATCAGGTCAATGAGACGAAATGAAATGTGAACAAAACCAACGTCAAATGTGTTTCATTTCGCAATTAAACACTCATATTTTATACATGCATATTACCAGATGTGAAACAACAACAACAACGAACAAAAATCATCACCATATTTCACGGCAAAATGTACTTAGTGAAGGATTTATTTTTGTTCGGTGTTGCTTTTTATTTCTGTTCGTTGCGAACAGAAATTTAATAGACTGAAATGGATTTAGCCATCACTCATAATTCGTTCTATGACCATTCGAGCCATGAGTAGCCCGAGTCGAGTACAATGCAATTGAGCAGTACGGCCCCATGTGATGCAATCGTCGCATGTGTGTGACGTCCAACATTGCTTTCGCAATCCAGGGATTCTTCGCGCACAGCACGCGCAACGACACAACTTCCAACCGCTTAATAATATCGATGTTGCATGCACTATAAAAGTAGTGTATGTGAGCGAATCGTGTTGTTGCTGCTTTTTTTCCTCTCATCTCACTTTATTCGAATTAGAACGATATCCTCTGTCATTCTGTTCTATATTACGCGCGTGAACTCGATTTCTGCTATCTCTCCGCGGTATATGCGGAGAGCCAGTTTCGTTTTTTTTTTCTTTCTTTCTTTCTGGTTTTTAGCATTGCGGATGACTCATCGCAACAGAGACACAAATGTGTATGGTTTTATTTTCTGTTCATTGTATCAATGCCAACGTAAAAAATACGAAATGACTTACACAAAAGACAAACAAAAAATTGTATAAACTGTAACAAATCTAGTCGTGTGAGTAATAGTACCTGTTGTGTATTTGATTTCACTGGTCTATGTTGCTGCTAAAGCTTCTGAACGGTTGTCAACGTTGCTGTTGATGTTGTTGTTGCTGTCGTCGTTTATTTAATTATCACAATGAATGAGAACTGAACTGTTTGAAATTTCCCAAATTAAAATCGAAATGGCCAAGTTTTTTTTCTTTCAATTCAACGCATTCATGTCAATTCGAAGTTGATACTGAATGTGTTACAACAGAATGTTACTAGGATTTCGGTCAATCATCAGCTGCACCATTTATCTCGTTATATATATCTATTTTTTTTCCTCTTCTAGCTTAGCACCGTATTTCAATTCAAATGCAACGATGCTCATTGATCCAACAAACTCAATTGTTTGATATACACACGCACACAGAACACAAATTCAAATTTAACAAACACGAATAGAATACAGAATATTTTACTAGAATAAAATTAATTTCTTCTCTTTGTTTCTCTCGGGATAAACGAATATATATAGATTCAAACAAACAAATTTCAAAAAATGCACTGACACAAGGCACTAAATACTCAGTTTAGAAATGAAAGAGAGGAAAAAATAATGTTCTCAATTTGATTTGTTCTGGTTCCAACTTGTGGCTCATTTGAATTGCGATTTCCATGCAACGTAGAAAAATATGCTGTTGGCCAAATTCAACACATTCGATCGTTTTTTCCAATGAAAACTGTCCATTGTTTATGTCAATGCAGAGAGCACACACTCAATGAACATCAAACACATTCGGTTAATTTGATAAATGTTGTGGTGGGCTAATTGGTGTCACTCTCGTTGTACGAAACGGAGCACATACGGAATTGAATCAATCCACACTAAAGTGTGATGAACAATGCATGGAACACCGAAAATTGTCACCGTTTGAATTTGTTGAATGGATGAAAAAGTTCAATGAGAAAATCAAACGAAAAAAAAAAGACTACAGAGATTCAACACTCTTAATTCATGGATTACATCCAATCAATTCGAATGTTAAATTTTGACTGGAAATGCGAACGCAGTGAAAAACTAACAGCGGTGTGCGTTGCTTTTGTTAGACTTGTGTGTGTTGGTTGAGTAGAACGGACTGTGTGTTCAGGCTGCAGCGTGTACATTTTGTACACACACGTAGGGCTAGTGCCAACCGAAACGTACACAAACAACGTACAACATCAGAATATAGAGCAAATGGAATGGTGGCCATGTGTGCGTGTGTACCACAGAGATGGAGAGAGTATGACATTCGGTATGATGTGGCTGTGTTTGTGTGTTTTGTATATCGTTTGTATTGTGAAACGTTCTAAACATGTGATGCGATTCATGACACACTCCAGAGATCGCGACAAAGATACATACTCGGTGAAAAGAGAGATAGAGTGTGTGTGTGTGTGTGTGTGTGAGTGTGTGTGTGTGAGTGTGTGTGTGTGTGAGTGTGTGTGTATCACAACACTCTTCATGAATTTTTTGGAGAGAATTTTTGTTGCTGTTGTTGCTATTCATTCGTCTCATCCACATCGCAAGCAAACGCGTTCATTTATTCAGCACCAAAATCATTTCCGAATTCTGTATGCACAAGCGGAACATAAACAATGTTCTCCATATACACGGACCATTTTGTTCGATGCGCTCCTCTGTTTTGGGCTTGATTTATATGCTTTTCTTTACTATTCCGGGTTTTAGTTGCGTGTTTGAAATGAAAGTCAAATCTTATACAATTCTTAATGTAGTATTTTATATTTCAAATCCAAATTCATCATTATTCAATACAATTTTTATTGACACATGCACCGAAAAATTGAATGGCCCAACTTTTTTTTTTATTCACACAGTTGGATTATCTTAGGTTTCTTTAACGTTCCCTTTGAATTATTTAACATAAATAATTGTCTATTCAACTTTTTGGTTGTTGTTCTTGTTAGTAGTATTTTGTGGATATATCCATAGGGCAAATTTTCTTCAAAGAAAAATTCCAGCTGAGACCATTTGCCGAGACAGATGAATGAATGCAGAAAAAAAAACACATTTAAAAAGTACGATTAATTTTAGTCACTATCATAATCGTTGCCTTTGCCCGTTGATGAATTCAATGGACGCCTCTCAGTGCTGTCATCATCCGAACCATAAATAACATCTTCATCCGAGTCGTTGACCATGGAAAATGCCGGATTATCTTTGGTTATAGTTGTTTCTGTGAAGATCAAATAACCACCCAATACAGTTAGACATAGTCAAAAGATTGGAAAGTTTTTTTTCTCGTATATGTTCTATTTTACCATGAACCGGCCGGCCACTGGGTGAGTATACATAAGCCATGGTATAGAGATAAAAGTTTAAAAGTCCGTAGAAGCACATAAATTGGGCCGAACTTTTATAGGTCGTACTGAGTGAAGCCACAAAATTATCCTCCAACACACCGAATCCAAAGCGATTCATTGCCAATGCAATCGTTACACTCACAACAAATATCATTAATAGTGTTAGAAACTTTAGACGCATATCTGTCAGAGAAGAAGAGAGTTTTTTTCGTTTTATCATTCAAAATGTGGCTTGTTAGTGTTAGGCTAATCAATTCTCTTCAATTAAGGCATTTAAAAAAACAGAGACGAAGAGAGAAAGAAAATGTCTCTTACCAAAAAATGGCATCGATCTAAGTTCACTGTATGCTTTCAGTATGAGTAATGCCAGGTAGAGCAAGTACATTGCACAGGATATGTAGAAAAATGTTTGAAAACCCTGAAAAAATCAGCATGGTAAAATTAATTTTGCGATAGATAACTGACGCTTTCAACAGATATGTGTTATCGATTTTACCTGGAAGTTTCCTGTGTCAACAAAATGGTTATAGGTTGGATCACGAAGTTCGTTGTACTTTTCCCATGTGGCAAGCACAATGGCGCACAGCCACATCGGCATGATAACAATTAATTTCGGAAGATAAAATGTTAAAAATTTTCGCTCATTTTGTCGCAGCCCATGATAAATGCACAGCCAAAACATTAACAGTGAGCATAAAAATGTTGACTGAAACAATGCATCCATCATTCCCGGAATCCACGAGTTGAACAACACGGACAATGTGAAAAATGGATCTGGAAATAGGAAGTCATTTTGGAATAATTGCAATTAGTCACTAGAAAATTATCATTATTTCGTTGGAGGAAGACCGATGAATACTGACTATTGTATAGAGCCAAAAGTGGTAGCAGTAGATTCATCCATTTCTGTTCGATAGACCAGTCAAAGTGCGGATATCGTCGTAACGAATGCTGGAACCAACACTGAAAACAAATCATATTGATTGAATGATAATGATCATATGATACGTTTATTCACACACTTACCGTTACAACGAATGAGAAGAGCAGGAAAATAAATCGAAACCATATTTCGATCTGTGTAAAGTCTGGATTATAGGTTTTAAACTGTTTCAATGAAGAAAGAAAAAAAAGATTCAATGATAAGTTTTGATTTAAATGTATAATTTTCAAATTAAGTTATTCAGAATAAATTGAGCTACACAGATTGCGAATCAACTTACAAACAATGTCAAGTCTTTAATATTATATCGTTGATGAAAACTCTCCAAGTCATAGAATCGTACGGTAATAATGTAATGAGCATATTCCAGAAACCCCAAATGCACAATTGTAAATTCATCGCAAAAATTGCGTTCGCACAGCAAATGCCTCGTGCTGTGTGTATGTTATCAAATTGAAAATTATTATCGTTAAAAAAAATGAGAAAAAAAAATATTCAAGCCACAAAATACAATACCGATTTCGTATGACGTTGGACAGTGGAACGGGTGTGTGTTCCTTAGTAATGCCTTCAATCATCACATTAATTTGGAATGTTTTGTCGAATTTCTCGTCGTCATGGTTGTCAGTCTCCGTTCGGGCGATCAGCCACAGTTGCTGTGCATATGTGTTGAGCAAGGGTGTGCGCAGCACAAATGGACCAGTGGCCATGATATTCTTATCATTTGCACTCGATGTATTTGCAATCAATGTTTTTGCACTGACCATTGTCGTTGTTGTTATGGGTGGACCTTGAGAATGAGAGAAAAATCAATCGAACGTAAATCATTCTTCTTCTTTTTCATTTCTCTTTAAATTTCCACTGTAAATTTCATTATCGTTTGCCCCACTTACCAGCCAATCCAATGAATATGCTAAGAAATTCACAAACAAAAAATGCTAGAATGGCCACTACAAATTCACGCTTCGAAAGAGAGTAGAGACGCATATGTACAGAGCGTTCGCATCGGTCATGGTATGGGGCTGGTGTGATGAATTTATTGAATTCACTAAATAAATCACTAAATTGAGACAATGTGTTTCTTATGCGCAGCAAAATGCCACCGGATGGAAGATGGTAGGTATAACCTAGGCCTGATGTATCTTGAGGCAGTTTGGCCATTGTCGAATCTGTATTTGTAATTTTTGTTGTTGTTGTTGTTGTTTGTTTCACTGTTAACTTGACTTGATCTCGCACACACTAAACTAACCGATTGCCGGCGAATAATTCGTCAATGTGACTAAATTGGAATTCAAATAAACTAAATTAAAATTGTGGGAAAAAATCGCCGAAATAATTTCTCGCTTTTGTACACTTTTTACATTTACTCTTTTAATTGTTAGCATAGCTAAAATAGTCAATCAATCACTTTATCGAAAGTCATTTTATTTACGCTTTACTTTGTAAACATTCAATATCGATTTTCCACTTTCTGCCAGATGTCAGAGTGTTCCACAAGTTACCGCAACATTATTTCTTTTTCCAATGTGAATGTTGTTACACAAAAAAAAAACAGATCCAAAAAATTAATTGCTACAAATTAGCACCCAATACAAATGCTGTTAACTTCCATGTTGCTCAATTCAGGCGACACAGAAGAAAGGGAAAAACTCGTGCAAAATTCACTTTCAATTTGTTTTGTTATCAAACGTATGGTAATAATTAGCATTGAGTTAAAATATTCAATGGAACATTGTGTGCCATTCACCGATTTATTTCCACGGGTTTCGCTCTGCTATCAATGTAAAATGTCGAAATACTTTTATTTTCTTATTTTTCACGTTGGAATTGTTTTTAATTACATCAAAATCGCTGTTAAAATTGTTCCGCATCGTGCAATGATGCTGTTGACGTTAAGTGGCTGTGGTGTTTCAGTGTAAAATCGATGCATATGGAAAGTACATGCGCGTGCCATAAATAATTTCACCACAGAATTTCCACAATCCAATGAGAGATATCAACAGGTTTTCCGTTTGGAGAGAAACACTTCGCTTCTCCGTTTCATTTTGTTTGCATTTTTCTTTATTTTGTCAATTTCTTAATGAACATTTATTTGAATTGATTCGATTACATTTTTTATTTTGTTTTTCTTCGAGAATTTGTCCCAATGCGCAATATTTTTATTGTTTTTTTGGAAACTCTTATCCGGTGGATGGTTTTGCATCAACCGGAATATTCCATTCTCAAATTCGCATACTCTTGTCATCGGATGTTGTTTCAAAGTGCCGATTCTCATCCACAAATGTGATCGAGCTAACCGCATCCAAAAACCGATCATACAATTTCACCGCTTCTCACTCACTGCAGAGAGAGAATTATTACAATTATTGAAATGTTTTTTAAAAAATTAAATCTAAAAAAATGACAGGAAAATAACAAAAATCCGTTCAACTTACGCAAATAATTTTCGGTATCCTAGAGTTTAATGTATCTATCATAAGCAACGGAAAGGAATTGGGTGCCCTCATTATTGAATTCAACATCTTTTAATCATATGCCTTTTTTATGGCTGGTCCTTGTGAGAATATGTGATTTCAGAAAGAAACATTTGTCCGAATAGTTATGCCAACGATTAAATATTCACACCCACATCATGTTGAGTATCCCGAAATTAACGACCTTGATAGTCTGTTGCATTTTTGATTGCAGAGAAAAAATAAATGAAAATCGACTAACTTTGCCGTTAAGAAAATGGTCTATTGGTACGAAACCCAATGGTGGCACATATGCGGTAGCGACTTACGACTCAGATTGATCACTTCTTCGGATGGCATTGGGGCCGTTCCATAGCGTGGTGAATTCGAGGGTGTTGATATCGAATCATCCTTTTTCACTGATAAATCCTGTACAATGCAAATGAAGTGGAAGAGATATTCACGTTTTAAAGTCGATCTTGACAACAATCAATTGAACAAAATTAAATCAACGGAAACATATCATGAAAAATAACGCACCAGAGGTTGATCGCTCATGTTTTCAACGGCACTGTGATTGAATCCCATATTGTTGAGTTTGCGTTCGCGTGAGCGATTATTTTGGAACCAAACTTGAACAACGCGTAAGTCCAGTGAGAGAATCTGTGCAATTGTACGGAATTCCTCTCGTCCTGGTTGTGGATTCCTTGCGTAGTACTCTTTCAGAATGCTTTGCTGTTCTTCTGAGATGGCAGTTCGAAAACGGACCTTTCGTTCATCTTCCCTACCCGATTGACTTGGTGGACTATTGGCATAGGCTTCCTCTTGGTTCCGGATCATGCCGCACAGAATGATTTCGTGTTGGGCCAATTCGCTTCAATGATTGAATGTCTTATTGCATCGGCCACAGCTCAATTCCGTACACACTAAACTAACCAATTGCGGGCGAATAATTTGTCACGATGACTAAATTGGAATTTATACAAACTAAATGAAAATTTAGGGATGAAAAATAATTTCTGGTTTTTTTATACTTTTTACATTGAATTGTCGTCACATAGCTAAAATTGTCAATCAATCACTTTATCGAAAGTCGTTTTATTTACGCTTTACTTTGTAAACATTCAATATCGATTTTCCACTTTCTGCCAGAATAAAAACAAAACTTGAGTAAAATTCACTTTCAATTTGTTTTGTTATCAAATGTGTGATAACAATTTTGCTATCAATGTAAAATGTCGAAATTTATTTTTATTTTCTCATTGTTCACGTTGGAATTGTTTTTTATTAAATCAAAATCGCTGTTAAAATAGTTTCGCATCGTGCAATGATGCTATTGATGTTGGATGGCTGTGGTGTTTCCATGTAAAATCGATGCATATGGAAAGTACATGCGCGTGCCATGCATAATGTTAATGCATTAACAATAATCCACAGAATTTCCACAATTCAATGATAGATATCAACAGGTTTTCCGTTTGGAGAGAAACACTTCTCCGTTTCGTTCTGATTGCATTTTTTTATTTTGTCAATTTATTTAAATTAATCACCTTAATGAACATTATTTGAATTCGATTACATTTTTTATTCTGTTTTTCTTCTGCTTCATGAATTTGTCCCTAAAATAATGCACAACATTTCTATTGTTTTTAATGGATGAAGAAAAAAAAAACGTATGTGAAAAATACTTAAATGATAAAATTAATCCCAATATTTGATGGCACCATCCCATCCGGCGGTGATAAGTTTGCTTGGCTCATGTGGATGCCATAGCGTTGTTATGCAGACGCCATCATGTGCTTGCCATTTCTTATACAATTTGGTTGTTTTCCAATCCCAAATGTAGACTTTGCCATCACCATCGCCCGACACTAGGTAACTCATATCCGGTGAAAAGTCTAAACTGCATGCATACCCAGACACCATATGACCGGTGAATGTTTTCTTTCGATTCATTTTGAATCGATTCAATGCGGAAAATATGCAAATCTTATTGTCAAGACTCTGGCATGCCAACCATTTGCTATTGGGTGACAGAGTTACAGACGGCATCGAGTGCATCGTTGGATCAGCGATATATTTTACATCGACCGGAATGTCCCATTCCCAAATTCGCATACTCTTGTCATCGGATGTTGTAACAAAGCGCCGATTCTCATCCACAAATGTGATTGAGTTAACCGCACCCAAATGCCGATCATACTCTTGAACAATTTCACCGCTTCGTGTGTCCCACTGCAGAGAGAAATTTTTTTTAAATAGAAATTGTTCTCTTTTTTGACAAAAAATTATTCTCAATGAAAAAATAATAAAAATTCGTCCAACTTACGCAAATAATTTTCTTATCCGATGTGCCAGCGACGAAGAGATGTTGCTTACTTCGATCCGGATGGAATTTAACACAGAATGGAATTTTCTTCGATGTAAACCGATGTACAACGTCACCAGTTTCGGTGTCCCAGAGTTTAATGTACCGATCATAGGCAGCGGAAAGGAATTGTGTTCCCTCATTATTGAATCCGACATCTTTGACAGCTTGCCGATGGCCAAAGTATGTGCGAACGCATCGTCGTTCTTTGTACACCTCCCATAATTTGACACGGCAATCCATGCTGCCCGACAAGAGTAAATGTGCTGTCTTTGGCACCAATCGAATGGCTGATATGCCTTTTGTATGGCCGGTCCATGTGTGAATATGTGATTTCGGAAGGAAACATTTGTCCGGATGTGCCGACGATCGAAGATTCACGCCAACATCGTGTGGAGCATGCAAAAACGAACGACCTTGATAGTCTGTTGCGTCTTTGACTGCAGAGAAAATAGAAATAAAAAACGATTAATATCAAAAATAAAATGTTAGGACGTTTTTTCGAGACCAAAATTCAGAATCCATTCCCAAAATACGAAGCAATACATACTGTGCAATATCGATTTTTCTTCCAATGGTTTTTCCTCAGATATTCGACTGCGTCGATGTCTTTTAGCCAGAATTTCTTCAAGTTCGGCTTTTTGTTGTTCGTTGGGCCGTGCGATGGCCTCTTCATTCTCATATTTACCCCAGGGTCCAGAGAAGCCTTCAATATCTTCTGGATTATCATTTCGCTCTTGTTTTCGTTTCGTCTTTGGTCGTGGCGATTCAAACACAGTTTTTCCATTTGTATCGTATGCTGTCTGTACATCTCCCACATAAGTTTTTCCATCGTTATCTTTATCGTTTACAGACGGATCCAAAGCATAGCCGTATGTGTGGAATGTGCGTCGTTGATTCTCAAAGTTGAACGCTGAAATGTGTGCCTTTTCCACGAAACCAGACAATGTGTTTCGCTGTGCTTTCTGTTGATTCGTTTGATTTGGATTCTCTGGTCCTTGAATTGGTGCGTACAATTCCTCGTATTTTGGATTATACATCAGTTCTTTGGATGTTGGATCGACTACGCGCGAAACAGCACTTTGGCCCTGAAAATTGCATATTGAGGTTATGTTTCTATCCGAATCACAAATATTTGATCCTAGCCTAAGAACTAATTCGATATTTACCATTGGGACAACAGCTGGTGCCGCCATTACAGTTAATGTTTTCGCCACTGAGCTGCTTGTGTCAATCGGCCGCAAATGTGCCGTACTTTCACCATTATCTGACTCAGAGTCACTGCTACTACTACTATTTCCATAACTCTGTATACATTGCATGTTTGCTGATGCAATTTACAAACTATACGGCCTAATTAAAAAGACGAGAAAATCGACAAAAAAACTACAACGTAAGCGAATTTTCACAAAACCAATTTGAAAACACGAAAAAAAAACAAATCAATCCGGAGATGAACAATTCAACTAGTTGATCGTTGTTGAAACGTAGTTATTTGGACGTTTCAGCTTTGTATTTTGTTAGTTGTTAAATGTCAGATGAACGAATACGGCTGCTTTAGGATAGTGCATGAACGCCATCTGTCAACAAAGCGAATGCACTTTCAGCATTAATGTGAATTAAAAAAAACAAACGATTTTTTTTTTGTTTTCTTCTTTGAAAATCACATTTTAAAAGTAAATTTTGTTTTAAAACCGAATACTTGAGTTTGATTTGCAAATTGAATTTTTAAATGTTGAGAATAGCGATAATCAATCGATTTTCATTCGAAAATTGATAGTGATGCACCACCAAAATCTGCTGATGATAGATCGAGATAGCTGTCAAACTTGCCACTTGATGTGCGAATACCTGAAACGTTTTTTGCAAACAGTGATTACAGTTTACAGCGCTCCGAACAATACACAATTATTGCAAGCAAAATTATTCAATTCTCAAGAGTCATCCTAACAATCGATCGATCGTTTTTGGAAGAAATTCAATTTTCCGACATTCAGTCAAAATCAAAACTCAACCTTTCGCAATAAATATAAAACATATCCAAATAACATTGATCAAACCGTTCGTGTATTTTGTTCAATTGTGAAATAACACGAATCAATCAGCTCCGTTTTTGTGCAACGACGACGCACATTGAACGTTCGAACGCCATTACAAGCCGCTGAGTCAGCATTTCATTTTCTGGAAAGAACATTTGGTAGGGCTCATTTTCATTGGATTTTTTTGATTTTGAAATTGAATTTTCTTTTGCAAAACTTCAAACAAATTTCGTTGCAAATATTCTTATTGGAATCTTTTTTCGATTTTGTTTCACTTTCATTAGGACTACACTTGTCGATCACGTCATTATTTTCCGAGAAACCACGACAAATCGAAATGGATCAACGAAATTTGGAACGCGAGCAGGCAAACGGAGTCAATGGACAACAACAGCCATCGGCTAACGAACGACCACCGCAGATCTTCAAACTGAACGTCGATTATTTCGAGAAAGTGTTTGAGTATCTGTCAATCCGTGATCTACACTCGTTTGGGCAAACATGCACACGAATGCAAAAAGTTGCCGGCTACTATTATAAGGAAGAATTTTCAAAAGATCTTTTTCACCATGATAGTGAATTTGATGGTTTTCGCGAATATGTTGAATATATGGGCACAGGAAAAGAAGGGGTTGACTGGAATAAATTCAAATCAGTTAAGAAAATCTATTTCGATGTTCTTTGTACAACATTTATCGAAAAGATTCCCAAGGAAATCTTAAACAAAATCGAAGAAATTGAGTGTAATTTTTGCACACCGCAATTTTTTGAAGATGTTCTCGTACATTTTCCAAACCTAAAAAGTTTCAATTTCGGCTTCTCCGCGAACGATGATGATTGGCTCACACGAAAATATCCAAAACTTGAACATGTGTCATGGATTTCACTTACCGGTGAAGGTAAAAGTGCTGGCAAATTGCAAACATTTTTCGAGAAAAATCCGACAATTCGTTCATTTGAAATGGATCCAATGACTATCTGCTCAATGGGAACATCGATGGCGAAAGCCAAATTGGACGACTTGTATGTCGATTTGTTCCAGTCTCACCTTGATCGCATCCCGGTTGAAACGTTCCGCACTGTAACACAATTTTTGTACGATAAAGGCGCATTTAAACGCATACACCTTACAATTCATGCTAATAAGTGTTCAATTGGAGAATATACGAAGTGGAAGTCCCCATTTTCGCTTTCTACAGTTCACACCAAAGGTATCGATTTATCACCACTTGTACACTTGGGAGAGCTAGGATTTCCACAATTCCAGAGTGCACACAAAGATTTCGTAAACATGATAAACAATCCAGCATTATCGAAGGGCCTCGAAAACCTCAAGAAGCTGTATTTCTGGGAAGCCCATATCGATAATATTTTACCGTTCCTCCACTTGTCACCAAAACTGGAAAAGATCATCGTCGAACACGAGATTTTAAAAAAACCCGTATTCATTGATCCAGTCGCGTTGAATCGTGAGCGCAAAAAACTGTCTGAACAATTGGCCAGCAAAGGAATCAATGTGAGCAAAGTGACGTTTTTCATTCCTGAATCGAATTACTTGGAAACAAAATGGAAAACCGTTGACACTAACTTCAAATTCATCGAAATTCGACGCTGCCCTGGCGAGATTCTATAAACAAAAATGTGTTCCTGATGCAAACTTTCATTATGAAAATAAGAAAATTCCCATTCGAATGAATAACATTATCTAATATTATATTTTGTAATACGGAAAACACGCAAATTTTTGGAAATAAATAAAGCAAACCGAGTTCATTTTGAAATTTTGTATAAAGTTGATTTTTGGATGATTCAAATAAGAAAAATAGCATTTTTTTGCACAATTTCAATATTTTAGCGCCTTGAACCAGAATTTCAAATTCAAATCTTTTCGAAAAGCGAACTTGATTTCAAATTCATAATAAGTAATGCTGCTTTTCATTGGAATAAATAATGTGGAAGCGCCATCTTTGGGCAAAACATTCTGTCCACACTGTTAGCAATATTCGGTTCATGGGAAATGCGAATCAAAAGATGTGAGACGACTTTGAGTGCAGCTTTTTATTTTCATTGCGTATTTCTTATCGCTTGTTTCGTTGAGTTTTAAATTTGTCTGTCTTTGCACTTTGCCTTACCTCTTCGTATCTAGATTAGCTGTTGGACTTAAGGGACAACATGCATAATGAATGAAGTCAGGATATTTTTTTTCTCAACCTCATATAGTCCTGAACATACGAGAGTCTATAAATCACATTATCATATTTTAAACGAAAAAAAAACTCATTTAATTTACGTTAAACGAATTTCAAGGCGTGTTTCAAATGAGAAATCAAAGCATAAATTCTTGACCTATGTAGCATCGTATGCTCCAAAATATACCATGAATAATGTTTCAATGCAATGCATTTCGAAGTAATTGCATCTGATTATGTTGATTATATCTTGAATATGTGAAGTTTTTTTTGTAAAAGTCAAGAGAGAAAAGAGTTTCGACCGAAATGGGCCATATGTTTATCACCATATAGTCGCCGTGATAAAATGAATGTGGGAACACAAAATGCAATATTTCATATGATTTTTGACAGTTGTTTTGATTACTGAGGACAGAGTTCAGTTTTGAGATAAATCTCGTCGCAGGAGCTATGATAAATGCTCACATTTTATCAAATTGCATGAATTTTTGAAAAATACCGATATGTTTTTTTTTTGGCTCGTGTCGAGATACGGCCAATTGGAGTGATATCAAGTGTTGCTTTTGTTTTTAAGTATGTTAAATTTTAAGAGTTCTTATCAAACGTTTTATTTTTTTTTTCAACAAAAGAAATTGTTTGCAGTAGGTGTAGATTGTTTCAAGGAATATGGGTACCTTTCAGATGATATATTTACCTTGAACTCTTTCCTCTGTTGAATTCCAATCATAAGAAAAGCTATAAAAAGATAGCTCAAACCACATGGCCTGTAAAGTAAGAGCTGCAAAAAAGAAATCTAAGCACAGAAGAAGGGAAAAATAAACGACCATAACCTGTATGCTTTCAATGAAATCGTAATATTGAAATTTATTTATTCTTGAATTATCATAGGTAATAGTAATAGTAATAGTTGTTATTAATATACTTTATGTACATGTCTTTGGGAAACTAGCTTCAATTTCTGTTGATTTTGCTGAGAATTGTCATCAAGAAAAAATTTACACTTAAAAATTAAAAACGTCTAGCATTTGATTCCATTGCATAATTACGCTTCGAAATTGTAGATGTTTAGGATGTTCTTGTTGTTGTTTTTTTTTGTTAGATTCCAATGTTACTTGCGATCGATTTAATTCCTATTTTTTCTTCATTTTTTTTTTTTTTTTTCGCAATGTTCAATGCAATTTGAGTTAGTGAATAGATTTGTTTTAAGAATTTTTCATACACATAAGTACTCATTGTGTGTGTTTTTTGTTGTTGTTGTTGTTGTTTATAAGTAAATTTACAAAAGAACCAAAAAAATAACGAAATAATCGTGTGAATGGATCGTAGAGTAGCTTGTTTTTTTTCTAAATGTTCGTTGTTTTGGAAACCTTTTCAAATATATAATCTGTTCCATGGTTGTTATTGTGTGTGATTTTATGTTGATTCATTCGGTTGAATCGCATCATAAAATGTTTGATGCTAATGAAAATGAAAAATCATGAATGAAACTAGGTGTTTTACGTGGTTGTTGTTGTTTTGGGGACGATTTTGGATGTACTTGGAATACAATTATGTTCAAAATTTCTACAATAAGTAGAAAGATATATTATTGTCAATGTGCTTTGTATGTACTAAATGTTAGCTGGTCTCACATGTTGCCCGCCCGAGAAAAAAAAAGAAGTATATATATAAGTATGCCGAGCCCATGAAATTTCCCTCTATCTTCGAAATAATACTGACAAAAAAAAAACGCTTCGAAAAATTGAATACTCGCTTGTTGCTGTGGCTGGTTTATACTGAATGAGACAAAAAAAAATGGTTACAACTAAAAATGAGCGTGTTTGTGGATGTGAATAAAAAACATCTTTTGATTGTGGCGAAACAAAAAGAACGGGAGAAAAGAACTAAACAAAATGTGTAGACAATTTTCGTCAGAGACCAGGCAATTTGGACAAATCCGTTCTTTTCCTGTGTGAGACCAAGCGTGTAATCAGTACCATTTTTTTCTCTTCTTCTTCTTCGTCATCTTGTTCATATAAATTTGTCATATGATTAATTTATTTTCTATCGTTTTAACAGAAACTATGAGTATTCGAGCCGTGGCACGGCTCAGTTGCGCTTGGTTTCCTTTTTTTTTTTTTAAAGAGTATGCAAATATTTCATTCGACACTTGTTTTCTTTTTCTCTCTGAATTTTCATTTCAGATATCATACGTTTTATCTCCTTGTGTTCTATTGTTTAGCGCGATGAAACAGAAAAAAAATCTTGTTATAAACAAACAAAACTTCCTTGGAATGGTTAAAATGAGTTTTCTAATTTTATTGATTCGTTGTCGTCACTGCGACACAGAGTTAGTGTTCCATTCTCTCTCTCTTGTTTGGCGGTTATTTACGTTTTAGCGTGTGTTTTTTTTTCTTCAAGAGTATCTTCTAAAGTAACAATACATATCTGTAATAACATTTTAATATATTTTTTTGTTAATTTGTAATTTTTTTTTTTTGTAATACGTAAATATCAATTTTTTTCTTTTTTTATGGTTTCTTTACTCACTTAATGACTAAAATAATTCTGCCATTTTAAATCTAAATAAGTGTGTGTGACTTTGTATGCTTTACTTTGAATGAATTCATTTTTGGATGTTGTGGACATCGGACACAAAATCGGTTACAACGAAATACTTTCTTTCTCGTTTTCTTAACACTTTTCTCTTTCTTTGCAAGTTTCTTTTTGGAGTGGTATTTTTTGAGATTTTCTTTCATTTCGTTTCTATATTCGATTCTCATCGTTAAATATATATATAGAATTTATTTTGCGTTTGAATTGAATGCTCGTCGACTAAATGTATACAAGGTTAATTAAAAAAAAAAAATCTTCAAATTAATTACGAGAAAGACACTGCATAAATCTTATTTAATTCTTTAAATTTTGTTTTTCATTCATTTTAATCATATCTTACGTGTTATCTAGAATAGATTTTGGATTGTAAATATTGTTCTAATAATGTCAACATATTCTCCACCATGTTTGGTTGTCATGGCGTGTATCATCATCAATTCAATGGATATCTAAATTTGTTTTTTTTTTGCTTTAGTTTTGCACAACAACAAAAAACCACATTCGTTGTTCTAGTTTTTATTTATTATTTTCATCGAATCATCAGCTGTTTTCTTTCTTCTGGGGTGCCGACACTCTCTTTTCTTTTGCTAGCGCTTAATTCAATGAGCATTTGGCAAGTACTGACTGCTGATTTACTTACATACAATCAAAATAAAAACAGACATTTCGAAACGATAACACTACGTTTTGTTTCCGTTCGTGTTGAGTGTCAGTTTGAGCAAAATGTTTCAATCAACTTGAATCCATCGGGAAAATTTCAATTATTTCATTTTTTTTCTCATTCACTCTTTTGTTAACAACTATGTCTAAATTGTAGGCGCTATTAAATATCATATATTTTAATTTTAGTGTTTTTTGTGTGTGTGTTAATTTCTTCGTTCCTTTCAGTATTAGTCAAATAGGTTTTTTTTAGGTATAAATATTTTTTGTATTGTCTTGTTAACACCGTGTGGTCCAAATTATGCATCGTTTAATCGATCTCATTGATTTCTCGGTTCGAGCGCGGTATATATCTATTCAATGTACTCATTGTGTTGTTTGCTTACTTTCATTCTTTTCGATGATAATTTTTTTCCAAACGAAGAAAAAAAAGAAACAAAAATTAAATTGGGAAGAAATGGATTACATGCATAGTAGGTATCAATCCGAATGAATGCACTTTTCGGGAAGTATCTATCGTTACGATTTGGAATTATTAAAGTATAAATATACATCGAACACGCGATATAGGAAAAAAAAAACTAAAAAAAGGAAGAAAAAAAAAACGAAAAAAATGTATTAAACGAGGAACCAAAAAGGTGAATTATCATAATTTTGAATAAAAAATGTTACTATTCTGGATTCGAATTGCGCAAAGACCCAGCCTTCGGTGATATTATTATTGCCAATAATAATTTATTTTTATCTCTTTATTCGATTGGAACATCATTCAAAATGGAACATTTTAAACGGTTCATTTCGTTGTATGGAGAGAGTGTGTGTATGTCTGCATGAACAGTCCATAATAATGTACAAAAAAATTTGATTTTCGGCAAAAAAAAAACAGAATTTTTTTTTTAAAATCTGGATGCATTTTCGGTTTGGCCAGGTACCGCATAAAATTACAAATGGAAAAAAGTGGTATAATTTCAAAGCCGAATTCACTGAAACCAGCCTCTGTACAAATATATATTAAAGACTATATAGCAAACGCAATATTTACAATTAGAAAACATGAGCATTGAATGAAAATGATTAAACATCTTGTTTTATTCAAACGAAAGATACGAAGTAAAGAAAAATACATAATTTTCAGTTGGTTGAATATGCGAACAGTGATTTTTCTGATTTGAAGAAAGTCAATCACTCGCTTGACTTCTATACCGACAAAAAAAATACACGGATTTCCATTCCAAATGAACTATTAGTAAATGGGAAAATAATAAAAAACATTCCTTAAATGAAAAAAAAAAACAAATATATAAAATTATACATAAAATTATACTTAAAAAACAACACCGTTTAAACTCTACGTAGGCGTGCACCGATCATTCCAAGTGTTACACATTACACGTTAAAATTTGAAGAAAAAAAAAATTTAAAAAGAAGATTCAGATCGATTTCAAGAGAAGAAGGAAAATTAAAAATGTTAAAACGATTTTTATAAAATATATTGTAACTGTTTACCGTTTCTCAAAAAAAAAATCAAATAGATTTACGTGTTCGATCATTTCGACTGAATGATTCGGTTCACAATGTGTCTCTCTCTGTGTGTGTGTGTGTTTGTTTCAGACGGCCCATTTTCTTCATGTCAATTGAGTAACCGTTATGTACAGCACACGTTCGATTGTTTTCTTTTCACATTATTATTCTGAATTTACTCTATGTCTGTTTTCTTTGTTCTGGTTTTCATTTCAAAAGTCAATTCAATTCATTCAGTAATTTTACTTTTGGCAACGATGAATTCACGGCTTAGAAATATGTTTTGTTTTTTCTTTACACAAATACACATTTAAATGTGCGAGATAAACCTACACTATACTGGGAATGATTTTTGATTGTGGTTTGTTTTTATCTCTTTGTTCCTATTTGCAATTTGTCTGTCGTATAATTTGATGCAATGAACAACAACGACAAAATGGGTGGAAAAAAAGAGAAAGGAAATCAACGACAATTCGTGTGTGCTTTTCTTAATCTTCTTTCTTTTGTAAATGAATTCTTTCTCTTCACATTAAGTACAAAATTAGAGAGAGAATTTTTCTCCGAAAATCAGTCACACGTCATCTCAACAAATCGGAGACTCAATTCCGTGGAACTGTAAGTGTTTTTTTTTTGTTTGTTTAATGTACATACTTTTGAATCACATGGTTAAATTACTACGCGCTGTTGTTTTCCTTTCCACAATTTTTTCGTTTTATTCTTCTTCTCGAAAGAAAAAAAAAACTCCTCCATTGCATCGCCACTAAATCTCATAAACTAAATTAATATATTTGTTTGTTCTATATTGAAATATGGCTATTAATGTTGGTTCACTTTCGTTTCTTTCTTCATTTTTTTTTCGATTTCGATTATTTTCTCACGAAAATTTCACATGTAATTGAAATGCAATGATTTCGATCGGTCGACAGCGAATACCTTCGTTTATGCTTCTCTGTATGGTTTGCAGTAGGAGTAGCGGTGATTCATGTGTTGACTGTATGAGCCTGAATGCGAGAATTTTTTCAAGCATTTTGTGCATTGGAAGGGTTTTTCACCTGTGTGCAGTCGCTTGTGCTCGGTCAAATGATGCTTGTGCTTGAATGCCTTTGTGCAATCCTGACATTTATACGGACGTTGACCTGTTGTTTGTTTTTTTTTTGTATGGGAGAGAGAGTAAAAATGAAATCGATCGGTTTTATTACGATTCATGAAGAAAAAATAAAATAAAAATTCACAACAGAATGAATAAAACTCTTAATAAAATAGCAATCGGAATGGAAATGAGGACAACGACAATGAATGCCATTCCGTTGACTACGAATAGTAATGCAATAAAAATGTCATTTATCTTTTCTTGAAATGCAAAAAGAAAAAAGAAAAACCGAAACAAAGAGCAGCAGCAAGAAAATCGGGTATAAAATACGATGGAATTTGATACTAACCAGAATGTTCGTATTTATGTCGCGCCAACGAGCTCTGCTTGTTGAACGCCTTGTCACATTCATCACAAATAAATTGACCTTCGCCTTCAGGAACTTGTTGTTTGACATATGATCGCTTGGCTGGTGCTTGCGGCTGAACAATTGGCTGCTTCGGAGATACGTTCCCATTGAACGTGTCTTTGGCGTATTGGAGTTCGTCCTTCCATGTACGTTGTTGCTTCTCCGATGCTGGGCTCACACTGTCCGACACCAGGCTATTTCGGGCCATTTCGGGTGCGATGTTAAGAAAACGATCCATTGGTACGAAACCCAATTGTGGCACATATGGATAATGCGGTAGCGATTTACGACTCAGATTGATCACTTCTTCGGATGGCATTGGGGCCGTTCCGTATCGTGGTGAATTCGAGGGTGTTGACATCGAACCATCCTTTTTCACTGATAAATCCTGTACAATGCAAGCGAATGGAAGAGATATTCACGTTTTAAAGTCGGTCTTGACAACAATCAATTGAGCAAAATCCAATCAACGGAAATAAATCATGTAAAATAACTCACCAGAGGTTGATCGTCCATGTTTCCAACGGGGCTGTGATTGAATTTTGGCGATATTTGGCTATTGAGTATCGACTGTTGCAATGGGATTGGCAATGGCATTTTCGTGTTATTTGATTGGGGTTTGTCAGCAGCGGCTGCGGCGACGGCAGCGGCAGCAGCAGCAGACAATTGACCATTTGTAAAGAGTTGCTGTTGCTTTGAGTATCCCATATTGTTGAGTTTGCGTTCGCGTGAGCGATTATTTTGAAACCAAACTTGAACAACGCGTGAGTCCAGCGAAAGGATCTGTGCAATTGTACGGAATTCCTCTCGTCCTGGTTTTGGATTCTTTGCATAGTACTCTTTCAAAATGCTTTGCTGTTCTTCTGAGATAGCAGTTCGAACACGGACCTTTCGTTCATCTTCGCTACCCGATTGGCTTGGCAGACTATTGGTAAAGCTGGCATTCAATGCCAATGATTCGGCAGCGGCAGCTTGAGCAGCTGCATAGGCTTCCTCTTGCTTCCGGATCATGCCGCACAGAATGGTTTCGTGTTGGGCCAATTCGGTGCGATGGTTGAATGTCTTATTGCATCGGCCACAGCTCAGATCATTGTTATCGTAGCCATTTTCACTGCGGCTATCTTCTCGCTTAATCAATTCACTGTGATCGTGCATTGAATGCGATGACGATATTGGACTACTCACACTGATTGCTGGCGATGATGAAAAATCCTCCATTTTCATTTTATGCTCGCAGTCCTCGGCATCAATGTCCATAACCAATTTGCCCGCTTCATCGTTCACATCGTCGGTCACCTCTTCGATCATATCCTCTGGATCGGAATGGAGGCTGGGCGTTTTATTGTTTTGTACATTATTAAGGAAGCCGTCCATAATGCCATTCGGTGGTGCACCAGTCAGGCCCAATAGACTATGTATACTGTGAATGTGATGACGTGGATCCATCATAAGGAATGGATTTGGCAAATTACCGAATGCCAACAATGCGTTCACATCGTAACCGGGATATTTCGGTAGCATTGCCGATAAGAATGCATTATTGTTTGGACTCGTTGCCAAATTATTGTTTTCGCTTAAATTCAGGCCAACACCGAGGCCAACGTTGTGGTTTACATTTGGCATTTGTTGTGTTAGGAAAGCGTTTCGCGCTTTTTGTGTGTTACTCTTGTCCACTTTGGCGGAACGATTGATTTTTAGGCCGGCACTAATGCATTTCTTCGATGTCATGTGGCTGGAGTATGAGCCCGAATGTGAGAACCGTTTGCCACAGTTGCGGCAACCGAATGGCTTTTCACCTGAATGTATACGAATGTGCTCCTTTAAATGATGCTTGAATTTGAACGCCTTATCACAATCGTTACACTTGAATTTGCGAAGCGATTCCGACTCGTCGTGACTAATCATATGACGTTGGAGACGATAAACGTTGGCAAATGATTTGTGACACTTATTACAGCTCTGAAATCATAGACAGAAATCAAATTATTAATTTTAAATTGTATTAAAGCATTAGACGTATGGTTTTTTGTTGTTGTTTAAATCGCATTTTCATCAATCAAAATTGAAAAACCATATTTTTCTCTTATCAAAATACATACAAACTAATGGCTCTCATTTCTATCTCGTTTGCTCTCTTTTATGTATAACAAAAATTGAATCGTGGGCTCGACGCCGCACAACATTCCTATGTGAACAACAAAAACAATCAATTCAATGACTCGTAATGTTATCTTCCTCCACCCGATCATCAAGTCAGAGCGAATTTCTCTTGAAATTTTCATTCATAATCATTCGACGCACAGGGAGTGGCGATCACATTTCAATTTGGCGCTGAACTCACGAAAACGGCGTGTTGCTAATAAATCTCGTTTCTACGACAAATATCGGTGTTTCGTCTTGCGTTCGTTTCTTCTTTTTTTTTGCTCTATGTTCTATTACATTTTCAGCATCTGTTTTTTTCGTCTTCTCGGCCATTCGAAGAAACGTTGCGGCCAGAGGTCATACGAAATAGATTAGATTTACGATCCGAAAATTGACGTGTGCGTAATGCGAGTGTAAGCAAAATAGTCAAATTCGTATCGTTCATTTTTTTGCTGGTAGGTAAATTGGAATAAGGTTGTTTTTGATAACGAACAACACAGCGCTAGATTTATTCTCGAATGGAATCTCTCTGTCGCGCACGCTCTCGTTCTCGCTCTCGCTCACCGATTTCCAAGCAACAGCAATATTAATCAGTCCAAGTCAAGTGCGTAAAATAAATGAATAAGCGCACACTCGATGCCGTCAAATCGTTGTGTCTCGCTTCAACAACGATCCGTGCAAATTAACAACGATAAGGACCACCACATCGAACGAACCTTATCATTTTTGCGACGATTTATTTCATTGTTTCATGCTGGGAAAATTAAAATTGTTAACAACACAACAATAACAACAACGGGGAAAAAATGAAATCCTTCGACAGAAACAATAACAACAATTGTATTGAATGAATTCGAACAGAGAAAATGTCTAAAAGTGACCATTTGAGGCGATAGTCTTCGGGCACTTGAATGGGAAAAAAGCCATGTGAAACAATTGCGTTTCCGTCCGGTTTCGGAATCTCACTGTCATAATAATGAAAGTGAAAAATAAGTGATGCATTTCCTCTTGATAAGCGGTACCAAGCGTAATGCACTTTCTACAACGTCATGCCACACGACCCGTGTTTTCTATCGTAAATTGAAGCGCTTTTCATAAGCCACAAAGTTTCACATTTATTTGGAGAGACAAAATGGAGGAAGAGCGAGCCAGAGAGAGGGAGAGAGAGAGAGAGAGAGATGTTTGAATTAATGATGAACGGGAAAAAAACCTTCCGATGCACTGATTGTGTTGTAGGTGTTTTTATATGCCGGAATTCGTGTGTGTGTGCGCGCGCGCTCGAGAAATGGATCGTGTTTCCTTTCCATTAAACGAATGGACCAGCTCTCTAAAATGGTGATACCGAAAACCCATATAATTGAATGAGAAGCGTGCTTGCTGTAATCGACATACGGTATTTTTCGTGTCTGGCTGTGCAATGTTTTTACGTTTAACAGCGGCGCGATTATGGTACAAACACACACACACACACACATACACAGAGATTTCTAATTGTTTTCGTCCATATGCACATCAAAGAACGTGGTTTTTATACATTTTATACGTATTATAATTCGTTTCTTTTCCCGCGTGAATCGTGTTAAATGTTTTGGAAATTCCGTTCTTCTGGCTACAGTTGCGCTTGTCTCAAGCGCTGTTAAAATAACATGCTGCCTAGTACACGTTTAATGCCGTATTTATGCAGGCTTCAACAGACAGGTGCATATGCCATTTTTAAATTTGTATTCAATAATTTTTTAAAAATATACACACAGGCGTGCAGAACAATTCCGGAACAACTCCTTCACATCGCAATCTCTCTCTCTCTCTCTCTCTCTTTCGTTCTTTTTCTTATTCTCATTCAATGCCATATTTCTCTGGCTGATATTCCGTTTATTTTGCTCGGCAGCCGCTCTCCAAAAGTCAAATATCGACACATCAACGGTAATATCGGTTGCGCGCACAGCACGAAGAATTGTTAAGTGAAAAATTATTAATAGCATCCAAAACATCAACAAATACAATTAAGAGCGCGTTTGTGCATCGTGCATTCTAAGATAAGTAAAGGCGGTTCAGCTGCGCAATTTTCGAAACGGATGCATACGTGCATATGAGAGAGAGAGAGAGAGAGAGAGAGAGAGAGAGAGAGAGAAACTAAATCTCGTTCTCATGTGAATAATGCAAAAGATAAAGAAGAAAAAATGAGCTACGTTCAGCTGAAGTGTAATTCATTTCGGTAATTGTTGTTCGAACCAACAAAACAAGAGCAAATGCATGCACAAATCGATTCGTTTCATCCGTCATCGTAATTTGGAGCGAGCATTCCAGTGCGTGCGCGCGCGCGCTCACATTCGTTCGTTCATTGTGAGAGCGACAACAAGAGACACGTCAACCCGAACGTAACTCGTGCGATACAATGTGTGTGGTGGGCGTCAATTATCTAAGATGATACAGAGAATGTGGCAGCATTGAGTGTGTTTCTCTCGGTCGAACAATGCAAACAACAACGAAAACGCTCGAAATGATAAACTAAGTAAATAATCCGTGCATAACGTTGGATTTTCGAACGAGAAAAACTAAATCATAATGAAATAATAAAAAAAAAAAATATGAAAAATTTCATGACGCAGAACCGAATATGAGATTTTTACGGGGCCGCATCAACAATAAAAACGATCGAAGACGAAATTAAACAATGTGGCAAACCTAACAAATGAATATTTTTGTTCTCTGTGGCTCCCGGTCTATACTCTAATTCTCTCTGATGTGTCAAAAATATTCGAGGTGCGCATAAATTTCGATAGAACCCAAATGTAAACCGAAATAATTTTTATAAGCATAATTTAATATGGGAACGATTGTTCTTTCACTTCTCACACCTTCGTTCTCCTTCTTCTTCTTCTTTTTCTCTCGTCGCACGGTCGTTCGGTTCATTTTCGAGTCTCGTCCACTCTGAAACAACACATTTCAGCACATATGTAAAAATGCTTAAAATGTGAAATAGGGAGAGAGCGCCAGATATTTTTTTTTTCTCAATGGCCGTTTTCACACTGTCGACGAAAAAATCCCGAAAGAAGAAGAAGAGACAAAAAATTGTGTCTCTCTATTTATACGCATTTTACTTTCTCTCATTTTTGATTTCTGGCGTTGACTGTTTTTTTTTTGTCTCCTCTCATTTCTCTTGTCTCATTTGATTTTCATCTCTTGTACTCAATTTTCACAACCGGCTAACAGGAAATTAATTAAAAAAACATTCAAACTCACGCATCTCTTTGGCGGCGGCTATCAAAATCAACAATAAGATATCAAAATATTCCATAAAATAAATTAACTTTTTATTTTTGTTGAAATGGGTTTTGCAGAGGTGCAAAAATAAACATAACTTTCGTTTCGTTTACCAATTGACAGATTTACCATGGAATCATTCAGCACGATACCTTAACGTGAGCGGGCAATGGAAAAAAAAATGTTTGCGAATTTTTTTTCTTTTATTTCTCTCCTTTTCTACATCTAACACCCATTGCTTAAGAAAATACGCTTCCGTCAGTGTTGATTAAAAAAACATGGCATTTATTTATAAACAGCAATTTAAAAAAGAGGACACGTGATTTCATCACGAAATTTTTTTTTCGTTCAGTTTCGTTAGCATTAGATAGCGATTAAGCATGAATGTTTTGCAAGCATGTTGGTTGTTAACAAGAACTTGTTATTGTTTTATCACAAATGTCTTATCCATGTACTGAACTCAATTCGCATACATGATATCGGGTTAAATTGTCAGGCTAAACGCACGTACGAAGCAAAAAAAAAGAAGGAATTGAGCGTGTAAAAAAGAAGCTGCACAAACGATTTCATCATCGTAAAGTATGTAATGTTGTTTTGAAATTACGTGAAAATAGTGTGAAAAGTGAGGCGATCGCAAAAAATCATGACTTTTCAATTTATTTGTGTTGTTTCGTCAATGTGTTCCTGACAGGTATTTTCACAACACTCGCACCCACCGAGCGGAACAAACGTGCGAGAAAAAAAATGAAACTAACGGAATGACAACACTATCGCTGAATAATTGAGGTCCTTGGTCACACAACACATTCCGAAATGTGAACAAACAACGCACACTGTTCACACCGTACTAGTCGAGGCTCCCGGATCCGTGCATGAAACGAACAAATAACACATGTACCGCAACCATTTTTTTTTCTCTCGTTCGAGATTAATCACTGTGCGACAAATTCACTAATAAAAAGATAATTAATGCGTAGAAAGCATTTATCGACGACAATCATTCGACATGCCATGACACACTTGCCTGCCGCTCAATTGACAACCAAGTGCGCACATTCTTCTTCTGAACGCCCGTGTCTCTGTGTGCGTAGATCCCAAAAGTCGTGAACAGAAACGAAATGAATTATGAATGACACCGAAAGCGAATTCGAAAAAAATCGCTGGCCATTAATTTTAAACGGATTCGAGAAAATAGTAGTAGTCAGGTGGAAACATGTGTGTTTATTTCTACGTTGGCGACCAGAGGAGAGCAAAAAAAAAAACAATATCACTTGAAAAATGGAGTGTCGCACGGTGAGTTTTCTTTTCGAAAATAAAAACAACCTGCCAATATTATTGCAGCCCGTCTTTTCGACCAATTATTGGTTTGTTTACGATTCAAACGACGAAAATGTTTGACATTAATAATTTGGCGTTGTATGCCATAGCCATAGCCATAGTCGCTTTCTATTTGAAATTCTGTCAAAATATTGTGAAATGGCGAAGGTATTTTTGCGGTGTGAAAAACTCATTACGTGAAAATGAATGTGAATTGCGTATAATGCGCGATGACA